AATGTTTATGCATTCCATTTCATTTTTGACAACTTCTAGTTTTCCCAGATTTATATTTTGTACATTCCATATTCTGATTTTCATTCTCTTCATTTTGAGTTGTGCCCCATCAGCAAATGAAGGTCCTGCAGACTTTTCTCCCACGGGTTTTACTCCATTCATGTCATCACGATCTACTCTACTTTGAGGCAGCAGCTCTTCCCCAGTCACATAAGGTTTTCAGTGACTGAATATTCGGAAGTAGTTCATCACTCTTTCTTCCTGGTCTGTCTTCGTCTGGAAGCTCATCTGAAACCTGTCCACCATAGGTGACCCTGTTGGTATTTAAAATACCGGTGGCATAGCTTTCAGAATCACAGCAACTCACAAGTCACCACAGTATGACAAAGTGACAGATGTGTAGTGGCCTTTTAGTTTTAAGTGGAAACTGTAAGTATGGTGAAAGAATACAACCTTGTCACACACCTTTTTTAATTTTAGAACATTCAGTGTTCCCGTGTTCTATTCGAACAACTGCTTCTTGGTCCAGGTACAGAGTCCTCATGAGCACAATTAAGTGTTCTGGAATACTCATCCTTCACAGTTCTGTCCATAGTTTGCCATGATTCACACAATCATGACAAACTATGTGTAGTCCATAAAGCACAGGTAAACATCTTTCTGATATTCTCTACACATTAGTTTTCCCTAAAGTTATGGGGAATCGTTTTACCATCATAAAGAATAGTCTTTAAAGGAAACTTATGTTTAGTTAATTTAATGTAATTGCTCTTTTAAATAGAAGAAACAGTTTAGATATACATTTATTTCTGAAAAAATTGGAACTATTTGAAGTAAAAGGGACTCCATCTAATGTTTTATACTTTAGTTTTACTATAGCTACACAGTATAGTCACTAACAGACACAAATGATTAAGCACTCTACTACTAGCCTAAAGATAAACAGTTGGAAGACAAGCCTCTGGAATCTGCTTGTGAAAAAGCCCAGCCACAGAAACCTTATGAAGCAGTTCTACTTTATATACATGGAGTTGCCATGAGTCTAAATTGTCAGCAACTAGTAACAACACACAATACAATGTTTATAGAGTACTCTTTCTGGCAGTTTGACTTTGTTTAAACCATTGCTTTTCCAGAATCAATATTTACAGCGTATCTGGCTCTGGAGGAAGTTCAATTGCACCCTCATTTTCCTTGAGTATCAGCTATATAGGTTAGACTCATTGTAAACTCTGGGGATGCTATTATCCAGGAACATACAATTTAGAAGGAGAAAGAGACACAGAGCTAACTGATGTAATAGAATGCATGTGTAATAATTGTAGGATGAACAGGAGAACTCTAGTAAGGGCATTGTTTTATATATGATGGAGTTGATATTTGAAATCATTACAAGTTAAAGTCATTAGATTAGGCAGACACTTGGTATAATGGTCAATTTTAAGAAGATTTAGGTTAGATTTCTACTGCTCATTAAATGCAACCAAAAAAATTTCTAGACAAATTTTTAAATATATCTAAATACAAAAATTCTTACAGAAAAAAATAGAATATTTTTACCACAGTTGAGAGGGAAAATAAGTCCATTTTTAGAAAATACCAATGCTAAAATGTCATTAAGTTAAGGGTGGACAGATTTAATACAGTAGAACTGAAGATAACAGTAGAAACACATCCAACGTGTTTATGGCATTTCCTAGTCGAGCAGTGTTCTGAATGAAATACCACATGCTGAAGTGAATTTGATCCACTGTGCAGTCATCCTCACATTTTCTAACAAGATTGAAGAGGAGTGAACTGGTTAAAATATGTCATACAAAAGATTGCATTCCAAGTATACCAAGATCACTTACAAATAAAAAATGATGACAAATAGAGAACAAATGGGGGAAAAAATAGAACATAAAAATTGCCATTAAATATATAAGAAAGTGTTCTACTATAAATATTTGAAAACAATACATTTTTTAAAATTAAAAATTAAAACTAACATGAAATATCATTTTGTTCCCATGTTTGTTTATGAGTACATATGTATATATTTTTTTAAATGTATAGCCCTATTTTGGAGTCCTGGTGTGGCACTGTAGGATAAGCAATGGACTATTAATCACAAGGTTAGCAGTTCAAATACACCAGCCATTCCTCAGAAATCCTACAAAGATTTGCTGTGAGTCAGAAATGACTCAACAGCACTTAACAGTAACAACATAATTCTATTTATACTTCTGGTGTTTTGTAGGGATAACACAATAAATAATGCCCTTTCAACATAGAGCAAAGAGAATCAGTTGTTGCAGAAGGGGTTGTTAAAGTAGATAGGACCATTTATTTGTAACATTTGGTTTGAATTTTTCACAAAATTCATATAATCAGAAAGACCAATAAAGACATTTATATTTTGATTTTCTGAAGTAGTAATTTAGTAATGTCTGGGCCTGTTTATAAATTTTTGGAAAAGCCAGATTTTTTTATTCCCTGGGAAACATGTGGCTCTTGTGTTATGTTTTATGAATCAGAATGAGCCATGTGAAATGTACATTGATGACACTGTAAACAGTTTCAAATTCCAGAATGCTTTAAGTGAATCAGCAAAAAATTTGCTCTAAAATTTCTCAGTTCCCCCAAATCTAACTTGTTTTCCTACCAGCATAGTGAATAAGGTGCCTCTGGAAAAGCAGAAATTGATAGAGCAGTAGCCAGGGGAAGACAGAATACAGATCAACATGGATTCTCAACTCTGATTTACTAATTTGTGTCTTACAGGCTTATTTCCACCTGGGTATCAATGAAAAGTTAGGACTCTCTGGAAGACCAGATAGGCCCATTGGCTGCCTTGGAACATCAAAGGTACAACATTTTTTGTATTATAATAACATCTTTAGCAAAATTTTACCTGAAATGTGATATTAATTATATTGTTTGATGATTTCCACATTCTCTTGGGTCACCTCTCTTTGAAATGGGCACAAACATGGATCTCTTCCAAAGAGGAAAACCTCTAATGAGATGGATTGACACAGGGGTAGCAATAGTGAACGTAAGCATAGCAACAATTGTGAAGCTGGTGCATGACTGAGCAGTGTTTCATTCTGTTGTAAATAAGGTTGCTATGAGTCAGTGCCAACTTGACGGCATCTAACAACAACAACAAATAACATACAATGAAATGATGTTCCATCTTCTATTCATCCATTCTCATACTTCATTATATACTTGGTTTAATTATCTAAATTATTATGTTAAATCTTGTTTGCATTATTTCATAGAAGTCTCCTAATTATAAATAAGCATTTCTCTTTTATATTATTTCTAAGTTTTTAAAATACCATATAGTACTCAATATTTACTCAAGCGTGACTTTTACCATCATATGAAGTATTTTTAAATTGTCACTTGTGATGTAATCAAGACACTTTAAATTTCTTAATATTACATGGATTTCACAAGCTATTTACTTGCTTATTCAGAATTAAACATCAATTTTAATTTTTATTAGGACATACATTACTTCACCTATTCCTCTAATATGGTTCATATTTTCTTTTTAAATTACCCTTGCAGATTTATCGCATTCTAGGGAAGACTGTGGTTTGTTATCCTATCATCTTTGACCTCAGTGATTTCTACATGTCTCAAGATGTTTTACTACTGATAGATGACATAAAGGTAACTCCCAAACACTTTTTTATTGAAATGGGATGACTTTGTGTCCATTGATTTTATCATGTTAAATTACATGCTCCTGGGTATCCAGATATGAGTTTATACAATGTAAAATATGAACATAAACCACCAGCTGCATAGCTTTGGAGACTCACGTTACTGGCAGCATTAGAATAATACATGGAATTTGTCTTTGTAAAGTTGTATGACCTTACTTGCTATGGCTTTCCACAAATAAAATGAGAAAATACAGCTTGTAAAAGTAGAGGGAGAACTCTTTTAGAAATTAATGTTTATACAACATTAATATTTATCTCCATTTGAACAAAAGTTGAGCAAAATAATTTTATTGATAAAGAATACCCCAAGATAAAGAATGATGTATGCACAACCTTGGAACTACAGGGCTCTGGGATACAGAGATTGACCCATGGTTGGAATGGGGAAAAGGAGGGAACAGTGTTAAGATGCTCGGCAGTCTTTTGAATCTTGGTTTTCCTTGCAGTATAATATAAACTA